AAATCTCATTGTGTTCCCTCTTTGCTGAAGCAAGTAACAATCAAAAATGAACAAATTATCTTTGCCAAATATGATCATGTGGAATACCACAGCTTATCTGCAGTACAATAGTACATTCTTATAGTACATGTAATTAGTTACTATCAAAAGAGACACCAAATAAATGGCACATTTCACCATAAATCAAATGTCAGTACAGACTGAAAAACATTCAGAAAAACTTATGAGCAGATGTTTTCATTTCTGTCTCACACACTTGTTCAGATCATTTAAGACTCTGGACCTCCTCCTCAGAAACTCTGGACATTGACATTGGAGACATGGACAGTGGACTTGGACCACTCAGTCTGATGTATCTCTTGTCTTCTGGAGGAGGAAGAGCAGAATGGGCGTTACGTCTGATTGATTCAAAGTTCTGTCCTGCAGAGTGAAAACCTGTAATGACACACACATTAAGAAAACTACAAAACTATTAGAGAAAAATAAGTTTCACAGAGCATGCAGCCCCAAAGAACACCTGGACTCCACCCGCACTATTTTCATTTATTATTATTTATTTATACGCAAGGGAGTGAGAAAAACAATTTCGATTCTTTATGTTTTTCGTATAAAGAATTGACAATAAAAAAATTTTAACCGCCGCGCGGTGCATGTTCGAAAACACGGAGCGAAAACACGGAGGTTGCTCTGGGTGGAAGCTTGCTTTAACATTCCAAAGTCTGTTTTGTCAAAGCAGTCTGTAAGAGCAGACAATGGCCACATTCTTACCTCTTTCTGAACCGGTTTGGCAACCTACACCCTCTGTCTGTAAACAGAGGGTGTAGACTATTAGCATAACACTGATGTGGTCAGAGAGTCCAATGTGGAGGAGAGAAGTGTAAACCAGGTCCAGGATGTTGACTCTACTTGTTGGAAAGTGCACAGGCTGGTGAAATTTTGATAGGACAGTCTTGAGATAAGCATGGATAAAAATCTCCGGCGAGGATGGTGAAGCCATCTGGGTGTGCTGTCTGTTGTTCACTGATAGCCTGATACAGTTCATTTAGTGCAGTGTCACTGTTATTTGTGGGAGGGATGTAAATTGCGACTAGCAAAATTGCTGTAACCTCCCTTGGCAGGTAGAAAGAATGGCACTTTATGATCATAAACTCCTGCCAGTGATGAACAGTGTTTGCATAGCACTATAGCATCTTAGCACCAAGCATCACAGATGTAAACCCAGACCCCACTGCCACGAGTCTTTCCTCTGTCTATGAGGGCCCTGCCCGCTCTGTAGCAAGCTAGCTGCTCCAGTTGTACAGCAGAGTTGAGAATGTTGCCAACAGAGGTGACGCTACCTTTAGGCAAAAGTATCTATCTATCTATGTATCTATCTGTCTATAGATATAGATATAGATGCAAACAAAACAAAACAAAACAAGTGTACTATAGTGAGGGCCCCAAACTCAAGTTGGCCTAGGGTCCCCAAATTGCTAACTCAGCCACTAGGTGGCAATGCCTGTTCTGTTTACTTTGTAGATCTTGAGCCATGGAGTTGAGTGCGCCTTGCCTTGCTTTTCCTGTAGCTGTACCTGTTTGTTTTTGGGAGATTTTATGAGGTTTTGTCACACAGATGGTGATCTACAAATATGCAAAAATACCAGCTGAATTTATATTTTTGTTTGGTTGTTTTGCACATTTTAATCCAAAAAATAATTTCACTACTGTCTGTATTTATACACATATTTACATGTTTATTCTGCAAATGTTTAAAATTGATAAGAATAAACTTTTAAAATAAATACATGCGTGTCAATCTGTGTGGTGGGCATTTTTTCTGCTGGGGGTGCTCTACATGTATCTCTATTAGCGAATGTTAGGGGTTTCCATGGAGACACAAGGCACACATGAGCAAACGCTGTCGTAAAAGTTTTAAAATAGTCACAATTTACAAACATTTCACTGGTGCTACAGAACCTCGGCACTTTCAGTAATCTTCTCAGAGAGTCGTTATAGGCCATTGTCAAACTCTGCAAACTCTTTTTCTTGTAGTTGGATGAGCAGAAACATTTAAAAAGTGCAATTTGGACATCACTGGAGCACATGGAGAACTTACGGACGAGCATATTGGCCTGACCGTAAAGCTCACACTGCTGCCTGTACATGCTCTGTCATCTGAGAGGTCACTGGAGAAATAATGCCCAAGATATTTGACCTCATCTGTGAGTTGGAGGCTCTCCCACACAAAGAGAAAACAGGAAAGGATAGTGTCTTGTCCTTTTTTGTTTTTACGATCATAATGTGACTTTTCAGAGCATTGTACTTAATGTCATGTTCAAAGCCAAACTGGGAACAGATATTTAAAAGCTGCTTCAGCCCTGCACTGTAAGGGCACAGCAGTACGAGATCATCTGCATCTATTAAATGGTTATACAGATAATCACCAGTAAAACATCCAGTTTTACATCATTCAGCTGCACAGACAGGTCACCAACATAGATAGTAAACAGAAGTGGAGACAGGATTCCACCCTGGCGAACTCCATTACTGGCTCTGTGTCTGAGGAATATGAGGAAAAAACAGAGACACACAGAGAGACAGACACACACACAGAGACAGACACACACACAGAGACAGACGCACACACACAGAGACAGACAGACACACACAGAGACAGACACAGAGACACACACAGAGAGACAGACAGCACACACAGAGACAGACACACACAGAGACAGACGACAGACAGACACACACAGAGACACACAGACAGACACACACAGAGACAGACACACACAGAGACAGAGAGTGACAGAGACACTGGCCTTTTGGTCAAACTGTGCAGATTTAAGTCAAAACTTGTGAACACGTGAGGAGAGACAAAGAGACGTGCTGTGGCTCAGGTGTTTTTCCCTAAACAAGAACACAAATCCCCCTAACATGTGCCTCCCTCATCATCAAGATCAACCAGATTTGAGATCACGAATTATCAATCTTACAATTTTTGGCACAGCCCAAGTTCAAGCTTTGTTTAAAGTGCATGTGACTGATTAGAACCATTTCACTAAAACATCCCGAACATCATTATATTATACATTAATTATATTATATATTATATATAGAAAAAAACCTGAGGAGATAGTGTTTGTGCTCAGTGTCAGCACTAGATCCTCTGTGGACTATTTGCTGTTTGAATAACGATTTTTGAAAAAGTCACTTCTGATCAGAGAAAGTGTGAAAGTGAAAGTGGACTGAGCTGAGGATGTGCAGAGTATGCATTTCTTGTTTCTTGCCCCCTCCTTCATCCCTCTCCTTGATTCTGCAGGAAATTATCAAGTAAGGAAAAGTGAGAGGAGTAGAGTAAGGAGGAGCAAAGGAGAGAGAAACACAGAAAAGGAGCAGGGAACAGAGGAGATGAGCAGCTTTACTTTGTTCTGCAGGAAATGGGTGAAGTCCTGATCACAGAGGAGATTTATCTTCCTATAAATGAGCTGGGAGTATCGCAACTGAGCCAGTAATAGTTCTACAAAAGATTGTCCACTCTGTCTTTTGTTATTCTATGTAAATGATTTTCTCTTCAAGCATCATTTAGGTCAAACTTTTCCATTTTAATCTTACAGGACAAAACTAATTTTATAAAATAATTACACACGTTTTGTAATATTGTCCACTTACTTAGTGCACAGTTTTGGCTTATGACATTGCAACTACATAATCTAACCACTTGAGGGCGTTTAAGACCTCAACACCACATCACTCAGGTGCATTAAAAGTGGGTTTCTGTTCAGTTAATTGGGCTGTTAATATCGATACAGTTTGCAGTTTAATAAGCGTATTTTTAACAGACTAATGTAATAGAAAGTAAAGGCTTATGTCTCTTAAAAAACATGTTCAGCTAAGTTCTTTCCAGCACACCTGTTGTTTAGTCAGGTGTGCAGAGTTCACACATGAACATATTCGTCTTAAAAATATATTAATATCACAACACGAACAAGAAGTGTCGCTTAAATAACATAAATTAAGATTGTGTCGTTCCAAAAAGAAATTGCACCATCTTGTGGCCTGACACAACCATTGCAACAAGAAGAAACAGAGAAATGAACGTAAAGCTACTTTATATCTACAAATGAGCAAGTATAAAATCCACACGTGATTTATTTATGTAATATTTTCAAAGGTAAAGACACGTCTCCTGAAATAAATATCCAGATATTGCGTGACATTTGAACACATTGGAAAATAAAATCATCCTCTCCATTTAAATATACAACATGACAACAGAGACCAAACCATCTTTATGTATATGTACCCAGCGTGTTAATGAGCGTGTTTTTATTTTTTTTTTTTTAATTACAGCAAAATGTGTAAAACTATTAAACCCCAGACTCTCATTATGCTGGCAAAATATTATATACACAAAACAAACTCGCTCAAAATAAACCAAATACTCATCAATATAATATCGAAATCCAACAATATTTTCAAACGATAAAACAGGTCCAAAACAAAAAAGCAGTTAAAACTTACAATATCTATAAAAAGTATAGTATAGCTTCATTTAATTTATGACATTATTATTATTATTATTATTATTATTATTATTATTATTATTATTATTATTTTATTTTGTTTTGTTTTTTGTTTGTTTTTTTTTTTTTTTATTTTTTATTTATTTAGTTTTAGTTTTGGTTTCATTCCTTCTGCTCCCCTGTATGATAATTTGCAAACCACCCCCATATTGTAGGGGGGGGAAAAGACATATGTATGTATGTTAATGTATGTTTATGTATGTTAATGTGTGTTTATGTGTATGAATGTACATGTATATTTTCCACCCCTCACTCCTGCCATAACGGTAACTGCAACAAAAATCCAATCTGCACTTTATACTATATATATACGTTTATACATTTGTTGTTTTTTGTCTTGTTGTTATATTTTTTGTAATAATAATAAAAAAATAAAAATAAAAAAACTATTAAAACCGGAGCTGCGTGACGTCACCGGATGCTTCGTTTTTGGTATAAATTCATTTCCGCATCCACATCGGGTCCTTTCCTGTCCGCGGCCCTAAGGAAGATGGCGGTGCAGATTTCAAAGAAGAGGAAGGTTAGACATATTTCTCTTAATCTTTAGTCACAGAGCCCCGATGCGACATAAATAACACCCGGGCACATGTGAGGCGTGTGCCCGCTGTGCGCTGGAGGGTCCCCGGGGCGCGGCGTCGCTCTCCCGGGCAGGATTGGTGCGGATCCTGGGGCTCGGCTCATGGTTCAGAGCCGGGGCCGGGGCTGTCGGGCCGCACCGAGCTCCAACGTGCCCGATAAATGTCCACCGTGCGACAGAATAGACTCACATTCATCTGCGCCAAAGCTTTTACATTAAACTTAAACACAACGTGACATTATATTAGCTTAGCTTCATGCTAACCCCGGATCCGTACGGTGCCGTAGTTCTTGCTGTTGACATTTGGACATTTGCGCTGCTCAGAGTGATTTGTGTCATACTCAAGTGTCCTGTGGTTCTGTGCAGTTCGTCTCGGACGGTATCTTCAAGGCCGAGCTGAACGAGTTCCTGACCCGGGAGCTCGCGGAGGACGGCTACTCTGGGGTCGAGGTGCGGGTGACTCCAACCAGAACCGAGATCATCATCCTGGCCACGAGGTGAGCTCACGAGCGCAGTGATGCACATGTGTGGGGCTGAGGGGATTCTCACAGGTGTTTTAGCAGCTCTATTGTACAGTGTGGTGTTAATTGTCTGACTGTAAATCTGTTTTGAACCCAGGACCCAGAATGTTCTTGGGGAGAAGGGACGCAGAATCCGTGAGCTGACAGCAGTGGTCCAGAAGAGGTTTGGCTTCCCGGAGGGCAGTGTGGAGGTGAGTTTCATCTTTAAACATGTAAACTGTCTTAGGCTACGTTCAGACTGCAGTCTGAGGTGACCCAAATTCGATTTTTTTTTTTTTTTTTTTGGGCCCCTATGTGACCTGTATCTGATCTTTTAATGACAGTCTGAACGACATGGATCCAAATTTTTCAAATGCGACCCACGACACTTCTAAAACCAATACATATCTGATCTTTTGACGTGCAACTTCAGTCTAAATGGCTAAAGCGCATTCATCCGACCTACACGTTATCAACAAGCCACAAACATCACTATTCTGCGCTGAAGTTGGCGAAAATTGTTAATGAACTCCGTGTCACTGAAAGAAAGCACATCGCCACTCACCACTCTTGGCTACGTCTCCACAACCACACGTTCCACGGCTAAAAACCTTGTCCTTCTTAGTCTTAGAACAAGCAAGTTGTTCATGTTCTGACTCCGGTACAAGAGGAACTTTAAAATCTCCAGGTGCTCAATGCTTGCGTCCATGTTTGGACAACTTCCGTAAACACAGCATGCTTCGCTGCGGTTGACGTCGTCGTGTCTCCAGTGCACATGTGGGCCGTTTAATGTTCACACTGGAGTCACACACAAGTCGCATTTAATTGGAAATGTGAACGACCTCGCGAAAACATCGGATTTCACAAAAAAATCAAAATTGAGCATTAAGCCCTGCAGCCTGAACGTAGCCTTATACATTTTACACTTCATATTTGTTGAGTGAAGCAGCAGGCATAGCAACCATACTCACTTGTGGGGGACTCGCTCTAGATCTAAACCTCGGTTGGGCTACATGATTTTGGAAAACAGATCAATCGTTTTCTTCACAGGTACTGATAGTGTTTAGATTGGAGATTTATTTTCAGGAGCATTAACATTGAAGCGAAGTGAAATCTGACCTACAAACCTAATCCAAGAATCCCAGGCATTTCGGATCATGTTTGTTGGGATCTAAGCTACAGCATGTCTTTAAGTTCTTTGGTCCTTTCAAAAATTAATTCAGTAGGACGTGTATTTACTTTATTGGCATGTTTCGACTGCAAGACATCTTAATCAGTTCTGAAGATGATAAATACATCTCCTTCTGTGTTGAAGAACCTTAGAAGTTAATGTACATAAGACAAAATTAATGTTTTTGGTTTAATGTCTTTTTTCTTTTTTGCCCTGATTAAAATACATGTTTCATTTTAAATTGTACCCTTTGCAAATTGATAACTGGCTGAACTCAAATTACAGTTGTCATTAACCAGCTGCTGCAGGCTGTGATGTTTTTGCCCATTTACAAGGACTGTAACTCGAATTAAATCAAAATTTGAATGGACATAATGCAGTTTTTGAACATTATTTCCTCCACAAACAACAATCTGCATTAATAACTGCTAACCCTGTAGTTTAGATCTGTACAAACGTGTTCTGATTTAGTTTGACATTTTTTATTTCAGGCTTTTGGTCAATTCTTCTGGACTTGTTTTTAAAAATGTGATGTGAAGTTTGAAGAGAATCCTATTAAAACAAAACTTGCAAATTTAATCTCTTGTCTGAGAAACACTTAATATTTTTCCATATCATGCAGCCCTACAGTTTGTCTAACCCGCGCTGATCGATAAATGTACTTTTTCGGCTTGTTGCCTCGGTGATGATTCGATGACGAGTCAGAAGGGGGCGCTCTCACTGCTCACTCTCCGTTCTGAGCTTGCGTTCTGCGGTTCGGTCTGGACCGTGAGCAGCTCTGAGGCCCCCTGCCCTGAAGACCATCGAGGCATTTGTCTGAGAGGCTCCGTACTTTGCTCAGATGTTTGTGGAGCGTTACTGTAGTCGGGTTTGGTCGGTATTGGCTTAATTTAGATCAGGGATTTGCACTTTTTGAGCCCGAGGACTTCGTTATCAGTGTGAAAATATCCCAAGGCCCCCCTGTCGTCTACGTTAAGATCACCATAAGCTTCAGAAGTTTATAACCACGTTTGGAAAGATACATTTTTCATAGTCTCATCTTGTTCTTTGAGACTGTACTTCATAAATTGTAGTGTGTGAAACATTAAATGATGTCGCAATTTAAGCATTGGTCAATTTTATCCTTTATTTTTCCGTCTTCTGCTGTGGTCCTGATGTTGTGTGCTTGTCTTCCAGCTGTATGCAGAGAAAGTGGCCACCCGAGGGCTCTGTGCCATCGCCCAGGCCGAGTCCCTGCGCTACAAGCTGCTCGGAGGTCTGGCTGTCAGGAGGTAAGGCCCAGGGACGAGTGTTCACGGGGCTGTGGGCGGTTCAAGTGACCATGATGACTGTCAAGTGGCAGTTTCTGAAAAAAGTAAATTACAGTACATATGAGCACTGACTTAGTGAGCAGAGTCCCCCAAAAACACTGAAAATTCCGTCTAAAATGCACAAATTCAGGGTTCACACGGTCATGGAAATCCTGGAAAAGTGAAGGAATTTTAATCTTTCATGCAACTACAATGTTCTAAGTTCTCATTAGGCTATCATTATTATTATTATTTCCGAACATATGCGCCTTTCGTTTAAAAGAGATGACAATAAATAAATGCACTGACAGTATTTTGAATGTTAAACTATAATCCCTAATCATAATTTGAGTGGAAAGGGTTCACGTTTCATATTTAGCCCTAAAAGTCTGATCAATTCTACACACGTAAAGTCATGGGAAATTCACTTTAGGTCATGGAAAAGTTTTGAAATTGTCAGTGAAAGAGAGTGGGAACCCTGATAATTTTTGATATAACAAAAATCAGATAATTCCCTTTCAAGTCTAATTATATCTGGGTTTGGCCCTGTTAACACCATGTTTCTCAGGAAAATAATGCAATTAAATACCTTTTGTCACGTATTTAACTGTCAAAGTAGAGTTTGAATAAAATCTCAAATGTAAATGTGATAACTTAAATGTAAAACGCACTTGTGTCCCTCTGGTGATGATACGATGACGAGTCGGAGGGGCCCCTTGCCTCTGTGTGTGGGGTCACGTTCTGTGGCCCCTCTGCAGATCGGGGCCCATGTATGAAGACCCCGAGGCATTTGTCTGAGGAGGGTACTTTAGAATATTTCTGAAAAGGTAGTAGTTCATTTTAGTGGCGGAAAGAGTATTGTACATTTGTAATCGAGTAAAACAATTTGCATAGCTTAAATTGTACTTAAACATATTGTTGCCAAGACCTAAGAGTTATCCAAACTATTCTAAATCCGCAATACAGTTACCGTATTTTCCGGGCTATAGGACGCGCTCTTAAGACTCCAGCCTCATCAAAAAAACGACTGCGACCCGCAATCCAGAGCGCCCCATACACGAATCCACTCAGGTGTCCCAGCACGACTTCAGTAAACTACAAAACCACAGCGCACGCAAACACACATGGAGCAGACAGCGACCGCACAGCGAAAAACACCCAAAGCCACCACTCATCACTCCACGCCGATGAGGAACGAACCGAGAAAGCGAGTGCAATGTGCCACTTCTAGACACAACTGAGTCACCGCGAACACGCCGACAATCCAGCGGTCCCAGACAGCGCCCTCCCTACACGCCACAACTGAACAAAGCCCAGAGTCACAGTGAACGCCACAAAGTCCCACTGACCCATCCAACTGTTGTTTCCTTTTAAAATCTGGTGCAGTTTATTTGTGAAAAAAGTTTTAAAAAAAAAATAAATAAATAGACCATTCTATGACAGTGCGCCTTATAGTGCGGAAAATACGGTAATAGGGCTCAGAATCTGTGTCCTTCACGATTTGATTAGCTCTGGTCTATCAGGACAGGTCATGTGATGCCATTATATCTGTATAGAAGAAGTCTGATGGATGACAGAGTTGTGAATTTGGCCGATGGGGACTTTGGACTTGGACCTGAACTATTAATGTATAATTCCACAGTGGTCCATGTGGGTTCTGTAGTGGTCCATGGGCCTATACTAGTCTGTGGTCTTGTGATACAGCTCAAGATTATTCTAAAGACATTCAGGAAAGGTTCATTTCTGTCCTGTGAATGTGACTTTATTTTTTAAGTGTTGATACCTGCTCAAATGTTTTCGATACTAGTTTTTGTGTTGACTAATATCAGATTTTTTTTTTTTTAAACCCTGAGTACAATAATGTGATGTTTAGTTTCCTTTATTTTAGTTAATGCAGACTCAAACATGCCACAATTTCTCATGTGTACTTTGAAAACCGTCTTATTTAGCACTTGTTAGGAGTGGTTGTGTACGTTTCTGTCGTCTGACGAGCGTGGCGTTGCGTGCAGGGCGTGCTACGGCGTGCTCCGGTTCATCATGGAGAGCGGGGCCAAGGGCTGCGAGGTGGTGGTGTCCGGAAAGCTGCGAGGACAGAGAGCCAAGTCCATGAAGTTCGTGGACGGCCTGATGATCCACAGTGGAGACCCCGTCAACTACTACGTGGATACAGCTGTGCGCCACGTCCTGCTGCGCCAAGGTAGAAACACTTCCTCTTTCCTTCCTTCCATTTTCCTTTCCTTTCTCCCTCCTTCTGTGTGCTCAGAATTGATTCATCACAAGTGGGTTCAGGATATTCATTAATATTTCATTGACAGAAAAAGAAATTGGGTATGTGTGACTTGGGGCTGCTACAATAAGTGCAATATTTCAAAACTCCCATGAGAAACGAAAATGTCGAAACTGTTGTATCCCAGTAACATAACCTAAAGCAGATATTCCCTGTTACGCTTTTCAAAATGTGCTCTAGTAATAGTCAAATTAAACAATATCTACGTGTGAGTCGGTTCTTTTTGACCCTCTACAGCTGTGGTTCCCAAAGTGAGGGTTACAATATATTTTTAAACGTCATATATTGCACAGAATTGACTCTTGTGAGTTTTAATCCATGTTAGAATGTTGCCTCCTCCAAAAACTCACCTGAAGTTGTATTTTGTCTCATTCAACACGTTTCATTTCATTTGTTTGAGCCAGATACAACAAAATTCAAAAGCAATAACAGAAATAGTGATATGTACATGAACGTATTTGGGACCTGGTGCTCAAAAGGAGTAGGATGAAGTTTAAAAAAAACATATGGAGTCCTACCCCAATTGTTTTACAAAATAACGTGGTTCACACTTTTTTTTATTAACACCTTTGGAGTGCTTATCTGTCATTATGCAGAAATAACATGTTTGGTTTATTAGTTTCTGGTCTGCAAAGCTCAACATGCTCTGTTCAGCCTTGTGATGCCATGAAGCTCGGTGTTCAAGTTTACTACACTTCATGACTTTACAAGGTGTTAACAGCTCCTTCTAATTTTTAATTCAGTAAATTGACAATTCCAGGAATCAGATCACCCAAAAACATGTGAATGAAGTAAACATGACTCCAGGTAAGTTTTGATGAAGCGTAAGATCAGGAAAGAGTAATATAGGCCCTTTAGAGAATGTTTAATCTATAAACTTTCAGCACTATCTTGAAGCTGAAATTGGGTCAGATGGCGCAACAAACCTTTAAAACAAACAATATTGAACTTCATTTAACATGTTTGCCACTTAAAATTGTAAGTTCATTTTTGCATTGGGGATCTCAAGTTGGTTGCATGGTTATTGTGTCCTCTGCTCTCCAGTCCACCTGTTAAACATATAAATATACAAATACTGAACCTCAATCTGTATTATTCCATCTTGAATATTGAACAAAATGGCACACACAAACACTCTCTACAAACCCTGATGTGCCCATGTGCCCTCTTCAGGTGTCCTGGGTATCAAGGTGAAGATCATGCTGCCCTGGGATCCCAGCGGTAAAATCGGCCCCAAGAAGCCCCTGCCCGATCACGTCAGCATCGTGGAGCCCAAGGAGGAGATGCTGCCCACCACCCCCATGTCCGAACAGAAGGGGGCCAAGCCTGAGGTGCCCGTCATGCCCCAGGCCCCTGTCCCAACCGCATAAAAGGTACGTGCCGGGGATGAGGTTTGAGGTTTGGATGGGCGGTGCAGATAAATCGTGATGGGGAAATGAAGAAATGGGAGCAACCGCATAAAGACCAGGGGGAGAATAGACTAGACTCGGTGTGGTGTCTTATGCAATTGACCGAAACCACTAAATTTGATTAAAAATAAACTCATTTCTTTGGTCGCTTCCTTGATTCTGAAGGAAATGGGGTGAGGAAGTCCCAATCAGTGTAAAAAGAAGATAGAAACTCCTCATTGAGACCAATAGTTTTATTTTATCTGATGTGTGCTCCTGAAGCCTCCCTCATGTTTACTCCTTCGTTCTGTGGTTTTCTTTGGGACACCACTTTGTATAAGACATTTGATTGAGGAAAGGGAATCGAGACCTGGCCAAAGTTTGAGTAGTGAAGCGTGTGTCTTGTGTCCCTCTGGTGATGATACGATGACGAGTCGGAGGGGCCCCTGCCTCTGCGTGCGGGGGTCACGTTCTGTGGCTCCCCTCTGCAGATCGGGGCCCGGCCTGAAGAACCCGAGGCATTTGTCTGAGGAGGGCTCAAACACGAACGGGGGACATGAGTTCTGTAGTCTATGTACAGAAATTGTGTTCTAGAGAAGATCCTGAATTGACTTGAATTTTTACAAAGCAATTTCTAAACTCATTTGTGTGTTGTTGTTTTTTTCAGGTGCAGGCTTCATCACATGGATCCAGGACCGGCTGTTTTTTGTGTACAAAAATAAAATATCTGGAAAATCCTTTTTGGTTGTCACTTTTTCTGTCCTAAAGTATATGTGGCTTTATATAAGGAAACAAAGCATTAATTTGATTTTATAGGAAGGTACGTCTCGACTCCTGTACAGTGAAGCACACGGAGGCTGTTGGAGTCTAGAATCCTTTTTGAATATTACAATAGAATTAGATTATAATCAGAATTTAACTTTTTTAATTAAACTCTTGTTATGGAGGTAGCCCTACATGGAAGATGAAATTACGGAGAGAAGCAACCCTATGCTGGATATTTTATTAAGTCATCTGAAATTGATCCCCATGAACACCTACAGTAGTGCAACAGGTGCAGATGGAAAATTAAAATCTTAAGTACAGTAATGTGGGCTCAGTATCAGTTGGTGGTTTGAATCCCTCAACATAAACAACTGCAGTTTGGTGATGTGATTCCAGCTCTCACAAATGAATACTGTCAAGTTCTTGGGCAAGACACTTAACCCACCTTGCCCGTACTATGCGTATGGCACTTTGAACACTCTGAAGGTGGAAAGTGCAGTATAAAACAGAAGGACAGGTCAGGAATTTGCTGTTTAAATGAGGTTGCAGGTTCATGGTTCATATAAATATATATTATTTATATGCAGTGTTGGGGAGTAACATGTTCCGGAGTTACGTAATCAGAGTACAAATGATGAGTAACTGTATTCAGTTACAGTTACTGTTTCAGTGAGTGGTAATTGGATTACAGTACAGTACATTACTTTGTTGAAGTAAATGGATTACACGTTCGTTTTTCCTGTTTTTTTTTTGGTAATTCCACTCATTGCCGGAAACTAAACCAGGTCTAAACTAGACCTAAACCAGGACTAAAACCAGGTCTAAACTAGATCTAAACCAGGACTGAAACATGACTAAACCAGGACTAAAATCAGGTCTAAACTAGATCTAAACCAGATCTAAACCAGGTCTAAAAACCAGGTCTAAACCAGGACTAAAACCAGGACTAAATCATGCTGTGCAGACGTGTCTCCTCGTCTTCTATCAATAATATTTTTTAATTTGGTTGAGTAAAGTTTGGGCTTTTTATCTTCTTATGTTACGATATCTTAGTCTTTGCTTCTCTACAGCAAATCAAGTAATCCACAGTATTCAGATTACGTTATTCACTTTAAGTAATTACGTGGATTATGTTACAAACTACATTTTGGGGTATGTAATCTGTAGGGGAATACATTTTAAAAGTAATCCTCCCAACACTGTTTATATGTTTATTTAGTTCAATATCTTTATCTTTTATCTATTTAGTTCTTCTACTTTTTCCACATTAGCTTTATAAAGTGGTGCCATGGTGTCGATGTGAAAGCTCTGATTCTCAGGTGAAAGCCGTATGTTCAATATGGCAAGTTTGTAGATCCAGTATTTAATAAAATTCAGTCTATAATATGTTAAAAAATAAATGGGCACAGACAATGTATAATAGCAAATGAAAGGAAGTGAGCAGAACAGGACAAATTCTAATTGGAGCTTTTCTCTGTTTATTGTGTCTTGAGCCCCTTCTAAAACGTAGCTTTTGGGGAGTTCAAATTGTTTTGTAAATCAAACCATAAATAGAGACAAGACTTTTTACATTTCTGATCTGTTATAATGTTCTTCATCAAAAACAGACCTGGAGTTGTGTTTTGTTTTGTTTCATTCATTCACACATGTTTAACACACAAACCCTGCATATTTAGACTGAGTTCTTTCCCATTTATTTCTTATTTTTTCTTATTTTATTTATTTGTATTTGTATTAATGAACATTAAAAATGTAAATATGCAAAGATTATAGCCAACGTGGCTAATTTCCATCTTCAGTCCCTCGGCAGGTTGATGTAAAATCATCTATAGGACGAGGAAAAGAAGGAAAAGTACAGCAACAATCACACAAAAGTACACAACACAACACACACTCACTATACACACAGTTAGTTTCAAACAGTTCATTTGAAGTTCAAAGTCAGAAGTTTAAGAATTAAGTCAAGAGTTAAACCAACAACCCCTCAAAATAAAAGAAAAGATAAATTGGTTAAACATGGTGACATATTTGACCATTGAATAACCACTGTTTTAAAGCTTTAGAAAATGCTGCCAGTGTTGAAAGTTCTCGTACATGAGCAGCTCTGTGTTCATGTTTGAGCTGCTCGATAAGCAAAAGAGAGTTTGTCCAAAGGTACTTTTCCTAAACGGCACAGAGCGTCGCCTCTAGAGCTGCTCTTGTTGTGCGATTTGAATTTCTTTTCACAAACTCCTTTAGAGGAGGTGGAGCAAGATGATTAAAAACTTTGTAAACCAGAATTAAATCTGCATATTTGATTGTGTTGTCCCAATTTAGGAATTTGTATTTGTCAAGTTTTCTGCAACAGTGATAATTTGTGGGCTTTTTGTCTAATACTTTAAGTGATTTTTTATATATAGTTTCAGCTAATTTAAGAGTACTTTTGTTTGTCAGAGTCCAAGTAGTAATGCAATAATTTAGGTGTGGCAAAATCATTGAATTTAAATACGTAAATGCTGAGTTGGTCGTTAGATTATTTCTTATATGGCGAAAATTTGATAAATGATATTTGATTTTATTCACTGTTCTTTTGATGTGTTGTTTGAATGATAGTTGTGGGTCCAGGGTGACTCCCAGATACTTCACTTCATTTAAAACACATTTTGAGTTAACAACATTATAACCAGTGTTGGGAAGGTGACTTTTAAAATGTATTCCCCTACAGATTACATATTACATACTCCAAAATGTAGTTTGTAACGGAATCCATTAAATTACTTTAGGTGAGTAACGTAATCTGAATACTTTGGATTACTTGATATTGTCATGTTTTTTAAAACTACATGAATGTAACAACCACATCCTGAAAATTCTTGTTTGTTTTCTTCAAATTGTCTGTTGAGCCCAAGTCTCCATGAACAGACTTTAGTTTGTAGAGAAGCAAAGACGAGGATCTGATCATAAGAAGTTTTGTTTTATCTGCTAAAAGAAACTAAAAAGTCCAGACTTTACTTAAACATATTAAAAAATATTATTGATAGAGAAATGATTTTTATAAGAGATCACTGCTGCCTGAAATTATGTTCTAGTTTAGTCCTGGTTTAGTCCTGGTTTAGTTCTAGTTTAGTCCTGGTTTAGTTCTAGTTTAGTCCTGGATTTAGTTCTAGTTTAGTCCTGGTTTTAGTCCTGGCTTTAGTTCTAGTTTAGTCCTGGTTTTAGTTCTAGTTTAGTCCTGGTTTTAGTCCTGGATTTAGTTCTAGTTTAGTCCTGGTTTAGTCCTGGTTTTAGTCCTGGTTTAGTCCTGGTTTAGTCCTGGTTTTAGTCCTGGTTTTAGTTCTAGTTTTAGTCCTGGTTTAGTCCTGGTTTAGTTCTAGTTTAGTCCTGGATTTAGTTCTAGTTTAGTCCTGGTTTTAGTTCTAGTTTAGTCCTGATTTTAGTCCTGGATTTAGTTCTAGTTTAGTCCTGGTTTAGTCCTGGTTTTAGTCCTGGTTTTAGTTCTAGTTTAGTCCTGGTTTAGTTCTAGTTTAGTTCTGGTTTAGTCCTCCTGGTTTAGTTCTAGTTTAGTCCTGGTTTAGTCCTGGTTTTAGTCCTGGTTTTAGTTCTAGTTTAGTCCTGGTTTAGTCTGGTTTTAGTCCTGGTTTTAGTTCTAGTTTAGTCCTGGTTTAATTCTGGTTTTAGTCCTGGTTTTAGTTCTAGTTTAGTCCTGGTTTAGTCATGGTTTAGTTCTAGTTAAGTCCAGGTGTAGTTCTGGTTTAGTTCTGGTTTTAGTCCTGGTTTTAGTCCTGGTTTATCCCAAAATGTGAAAACTGAAAATTACCACCCTGTAATCCATTTATTCCAACAAAGTAACTGTAATCCAATTACCACTCACTGAAACAGTAACTGTAACTGAATACAGTTACTCATAATTGCATGCATTGCAATCGCATTGAAGATATTTACATCAGCAGGTGCAGGACAAAAGCCCACAGCATCATGGAAGACTCCACCCATCCAGCACATGAACTTTTTACAGCTCTCCCATCAGGCAGAAGATTGCGCCACCTACAGGCCAGGACCACGAGACTACGGAACAGTTTTTATCCTGATGCCGTGAGACAGATTAATTCTGTCAGAAAAAACACTACAAAACAGCACTGACTTGGAACGCACTTTAGAAAATGGGGCGGGTTGATATATAATATTTTTAACTATTTTATTCTTTTTATAACTATTTATTCTTATTATAACTATTTGTTTTTATTGTTATCTGTGCTGCTGTTGAAACCTGAGTACATTGTTTCGTTTCTGTATATTTTTTATACTGGAATGACAAATAAATTTGATTTGATTTGATTTGATAATTTGTACTCTGATTACGTAACTCCGGTACATGTAATCTGTTACTCCCCAACACTGATTATAACATGACTTAAAGGAGCAAATTTCACGTAATTTAGGACATTTAAGTGTTTAATTGTCAACGCTGCAGTGCTCTTCTCGACCAGCAGGTGGCAGCAGAGCGGAAATCAAGACGGACTACGGAGAGCGGCCGCGGACAAACTTGAATGTGCGCGTACTGTCCCGACTGAGGATGGCTGCGCACCTGAAGAAACGCGTTTATGAGGAGTTTACTAAAGTTGTGCAGGTGAGCAACACACTTATCCGTTTGCGAACACTTTATTTGACGCGTCTGTCTTCGTTTGGGAGGCTTTGATGGCCTTTTATAAACGAAAACAGTGTAGCGGCGAACCATGTGCTAACTATGCTAACGACGCTAGCTCTGTTTTGTTTTGGCCCTTGGATCTGTTATAATGTTTTTTATTTGTCTGTTTGTTTTACTAATATGTCGTGTGGAGACGTATTATTCTGTGTTATTAGATTCAGAATTTTTAAAAGACACAATGAGGGTGATGGAGTAACAGATTATATATTTTAATTGATTGGCAGACAGATATAGTGTCAAGTTTTAAGTTTTAATAACAAAAAATAAGCAGTCATGTTTTAATTTCCTAAA